CCCTGCCTCTCCTCCGTCTTTCTCTCCTCTATTCTCTTGATCCTGTGGGCTCTGCACCTCAGCTGTGTTGCATTCCAGTAATTAGCGATTTTATATACTTGGACTTTGTTATGTTCTTTTGATACTTTGTGTTCTTTTGTAACCAGCAACCAACATGTTTTTTTCCCCTAGCACCTGGGTCTGCACACTTGAGTCCAACCTCAGTCCTCCCTCACCCTCCTGGTGAGGGGGGCTACCATAACACATTACACGCTCAGGTATCTTGCACCTCCAAACTGCTCGCAGGCAGATGAAAGATGAAAGACCCTGAACCAAACCAGGCCTATACATTTATCTCTTCGGTTGGGCTAGCCCCATACTACACAGGAATGTCAAACTGTGACGTGTCCCCGGTCCCTCTCACAGGTCCCTGTGATCTGTAGTCTGTTCTGAAAGCTTAAAATCCATTGAATAACATGTTGGTTAATATATTGATTAGAACACAGTTTAAAACATACTTAATAATGTAATTTTCATGACATTTCCCTCCTGTTTAAACTTTCTAGAATCACTTTATTAACAACATAATTCCTAAACTTGTTCCTCCCAGGATCTTCATTGTTTAAACTCTCCCTTTCAGGTTTTCATTAAAACAAGTCATACGTGGTTCACTCAGATTAGACTTGGGTCAGTCTCTTTTCAACCCCAATCGTCCGGTTCATAGTGGTCGTCTTCTCCTTTCTCCACGTCTTGACTAAAAATACCTAACACTGTGTTCATGTGAGAGCCAAATCCAGACAGGCAGGGAATGCAGCAGCAGCCACACACGACCAGCAGAGCTGCAGCTACGGACAGAGAGATCAACCCAGAAGCGACCAGACCACTCCACTTTCTGAACCAGGATTCCAGGAGATTGGCGAAGGGGTTGTTGATGCTGAGTTCACAGCCAGCTCCTCAGATAGAGCCGTTAGTCCTTCAAGGGCCTTGGTGATGCTGCCATCTAGGGAAGTGTTGTTAGGTATAAAAGTACAACAAAACATGCCAAACATTTTGCATACTCCTCCTTTCTCAGCTAACAACATATCTAGGGCTATCCTGTTTTGCCATGACATGAGAGATGTTGGGCCCAGCTGTTCTGCTATGCCTCTAATTGCATCTCTGGTATGATTCACAAAGCGTTGCTGATTATAGTATAAGTAGTTAATCCAATTCCCATTCTTATTTACTGTGACCCACCCGGAAAGAAAAGATTCAAACCCTGCAGCTATTTGATTTCTATCTTTAAATTCATCAGGTACTCCTCGGGGTACGCCAATTGCATCTAAGTACACTCTGTTGTCGAACGATCCTCTGGGCTCACCTGTAGACCTGGTTTCACGATGTAGGTGGGATGCAGATAACAGCTTCTCCCCCAGCTCCCTGTATTCTTTTAAGGAGAATATGTGAAAAGGCATCAGCAGCTGCACCAGGGCACAGCTACCACGCCACAGTGAGGGGAGCCTGGGTCTCAACTGGCCGTCTCCGCAGAGCCATCATATGTCTGCCCTCGAAACAGTTTGGTTCACAAACCAGGTGGCAGAATAGTCACCATTGTCACTGGTGATGTCGACAGTCTCCTCACACCAGGCAGGCGGCAGGCGGTGGACATTCTTGCCAGTATCAGAGCGCACAAAACATGCGTAATTACCAGGATAAATGTTCACTAAGGGAGGGACGTCTCCTTTGTTTACTGGTGGATACAGCAAAGAAAGAGATTTACATTGTTCAATGGTTGGAGCATCTTCATTGGTCCATTGCGGCAAATAACAAGCAGCCATGTATGTTTGTGTGATGTCTTCATGTTGGTCCCTGTGGGCTGTAGATTCTAACAGGATCACAATTACTGTTCCTCAGAGAGAAAACATCAGAGAAGGATCTGAGAGCTTTCTCTCTCCCATACATACACATCAGTGCCCCACACACACATACACACATCTGCTTTGTTCCTTTGGTCCAGCAGCTGCAATTCCCATCAGAACTTTTACATCATAAAGCCCCGTCATCATTATTGCTGCCTCCCTTTGGTTTTCTCCTTGTTTATCTGTCTTGCTCACCGCTGCTTCATCTATAGGTCACAAATTATTCTCCTACAATATTTATAATACTCATGGATTGCAAAGTATCTTTTATTTTTTGATTTTATCACTACTTGGGGTGCTTCAGCACGGAGCCAGGAAAGTAATAAGACTACAACTATTCCTATAGTTGATATAATTAAGATGCCGGTACGAGTGGTCCTGTTTCTGGTTATGCTCTCCTGTCTAACCTTTACAGGTGGGGTTTGTCCAAACAGTCCCCAGCTGGTTTTCTGATCCTCCTCTATCTGTCCCTGCATTATTTTAGGTCACACCCTATGCTCCTATTGGCCGTTGGTTTCTTCACTGAGTTTGAGATGACTCTTCCTTATTGGAAAAAGCCCCCTTTGTAATCAGACTTATCGCCTTCAGGGAGCGATGGTGTGTAACTAGCTGTCCTTCACCTATTTTATGAGGATAAAGATTTTACTAGCTTGCAGTGGGACAGATGAATCCAGGATGTCCTCTCAACTATCTTGACTGCTGTAGGTGTAGTGAGCAGTACCTGGTATGGACCTTCCCACCTTGGACTGGACCAGTTCTTTCTTTTAATCACCTTCAGTAGCACCCAGTCTCCAGGTTTCACTGTTTCAATCTGCAGCTCCACTGGGCACCACAGGGCAACACCTTTCACTTACAAGTACTCGTGTGATTACAATTTAAAAGAAGATACATTCACACAATTAGGCATTCATTGTTTTCCTATATTCCTAATTATTTAATTTATTTGCCAAACTGCAGTCACAGTCTGTTATACCAGTTAAGCTCTATTACATATCTTGGACTCCTACTCAGATAAATGAGATAAATTGGGACATCATTTATCCTTGAGCCAAACACAGCTGCTAATGCATTTTAGCCACACAGATAGACAGACCTGATGCAGCTGAATATGACAGAGGGAGACAGAGAAGGAGAGATAATGATCCACCTATAGTGAGTGCAGAGAGCGTGAGTGCAGAGAGCGTGACAGGCCAGCACAGCCTGCAGCTTTATAAGGAGGCCTGAGAAGAGCTGCATGGCCCATCATGGTCACTGTTGTTGTCAGTCTGTATGTTCATCTACCTCAGTGCTGCTGCCTTGTGGTGATGGCTGTTGAGCCATCATTGTTGCTGATATGTGCCCTGTGAAGCTGGAACACAAGAGCACACCCCACCCATGCACAAAGTAAGGGTATATATGAATATGGAAATACTGACTCAAACACTTTCTCAAGAGTGCACGTATACACTCTGCACACACTTTCTGTGAGAAGCACACAAACACGCACATCTGGGATCATGGAAACACGCTAACATATGCACACAAAGAATCTCCTGCAATCAATCACACGAGGGAGTGAAGGTCACTTTCCTTTTCAATTCATTACTGCAGTCTTTACACAGATGAACACAATTGGACATAAGGGATGAGTCACACACCCACGAGTCGGTAACATGCATCCTAAATGCTAACTCTGGCTGTTTTTCCCTCATCAGTATAATTCTAATTCAAACAGTGTGCTGAACTTTATCATCACAGCAGTTAGCCTATTAGACTGAATGATGGATTATCTTCACTGAGCCATCCAATCTGTTGTGTGATTCTTCTGTTCTCTTGTATAATAGACCCCATAATGACTTCACTGTCCGGATCATTCCATACCCTTTAGCAGTATAAACCCAGGGGTTGGTGTATTTTTTGTTTTTTGTTTTGTTGTTGTTGTTTTTGCCATGCACTATTGTCTGTTGTGCTGCTAGTCTCCTTGATAGCTAGTACTTTGAGGTAAAGAGCAGTGTACAGCAATCTGGTCATTAGAAAGGAACATACAAAGGAGCTGTGGCCTACGCAATGAGGATTATTGCACTCAAACTTATATCAGTTAAACAGGAGGTAGTTTGATCAGTTTGTTACAGATGTGCAAGTCATAGTGGTGTGTAGCAGGTGGGCATTTTTTATTAAAACAATATCTGTAATATTGGAAAGTGTTTTCTGCCCCGCACATCAGCAGGACAACATCATTTGGCTTTTAATAAATGAATCAGAGTTATGATGTGATAACAGTTACGGTTTTTTTAAGTTTTAGACATGAGAGCAACTCGGTTAAGTTTAGGTGAAGATCATGGTTTGGATTAAAATGAATCTGTGTTATCATGGTTGCAATTAGTAAATGTTAGGGAATTATTGTGGTCATTCTTTTACAAAAATATAAAACAATGTTGGAAATGAACAGTGATTTCCTGTTGTTTGGTGAAGGGGTTCAAACTTTTCATTTTTGTGAGCATTTTTTGGACTTCTCTTCCATTTTGGCTTGACAGTTCAGTCCTGACCTTGGAAACAATCTTAGCTCTACTGAGACACGGTTTAAAGCTCTGGAACAAGTGGACCTTGAGCTGAGATTGTTTTGTCAGTCGATTTATCACGTGTTTGGCTGCAGTAATGAGGTATTAATGTCACAAGAAGTTGTGACTTAAATTGATCTAAAGCCAGTGTTACTGACTCAGTGTGTTGACTGATTCAGTTTGACTAGCTGTGAAACACTAAACCGTGTTAGTGTCTAATAGTATTGTTGTAAAATTAGTAGCTTTTTATGCACAGCACAGAAAGCTGATGAAGAGATTTAAGTCCAAATGTCCAGGCAGTGAACAGCAGCTCTTTACCGTTTATTCATTCAGAGTGATCTCACTGATAACTTGTGTCACTGTAGACTCAGGCAGGCTGAAGGCTGTTGACAGGGATGTCAATAAGGCAGCGAATGCAAGAGAGCAGTGTGTGTGTGTGTGTGTGTGTGTGTGTGTGTGTGTG